GATTCTGTTTGGCTTGCCTCCAAATGTGACCTGACATTTTTCTCTTGAGGCTTTTAAAATTCTATCTATCTTTGTTCTGTATTAGGCATTTAATTATAATATGTCATGTAGAAGTTTTTTTTCCCCAAAAATCATGTCTATTTGGTGTTCTGAATGCATCTTTTGTCTGCATGACCATCTCATTTGGAAGGTTTGAAAGTTTTTGTTATTATCTCCCTGAAAATGTTGTCCATTCAATGAGCTTACATCTCATCACCTTCCTCGTTTACAATGATTCTTAAATTTGGTCTCTCAGTGTTGTCTCACAGTTCTTGCATATTTTGATCATGGTTGTTCTTTTCTTTTCTTGTGATAATAGGGAATTTTTTTTGTTTGTTTGTTTGTGATAGGGATTGAACCCAGTGAGCCTTTACCACTGAGACATATCTCTAGTCCTTTTTGTTTTCATTTTGAGATAGGGTCTCACTAAGTTTCATAGGGCCTCACTAAGTTGCTGAGGCTGGCCTCAAATTTACAATCCTCCTGCCTCAGTCTCCTGAGTCACTGGGATTACAAGCATCCACCACCGTGCCCAGCTTCCTTATTTTCTTTTCTTTTATGTTGTCTGAATGTTCAGGCCAGCCACTTTGTCTTCCAATCCTGAAATTCAGTCTTCAGTATATTCCACTCTATTAAAGAGACCTTCAACTGAACATTTCATTTGATTTATTGGCTTCATTTCTAAGATTTCTGTTGGTTCTTTTTCGGTATTTCTATCTCCTTATTGAATTTCTCATTCATATACTGTACTGATTTCCATAATTCACTCAGTTTTTTTCCTGCATTCTCTTAGAATTCATTGATAACTACTTTTATAATGATTCTTTTGAACTTTTTTATCTGACATTTCACCTCTTTCAATATGTTCGGGGTCATTTGAGTTAATTTGTTCCCTCACCAAGTCCAAACGTGAATGAGAACCTGCCATGTGTGCATGCTCTCCCACGTGCTCTGGTCTTGACCTGGGATGGCACTTGGCTGACAGATTCACAGCCTTGGCAGACATGCCCCTGCCTTCCCAAGGCCCTTATGGAGAAGAAATATTTATTCAAGGAGCAAATGAAGTGCAGATAATTTTCAACATTCCAGTTGTCTGTGACACTTGTTTTCTGCACTTGACCTCAAAGCAGTGGACCTGTTGACCAAGTGATATGGTCTTCCGTTCCAGTGGGTCAGGAAAGCATGAGTGTATACCACACGTGTCCTCAGCCACAAGCAAATTCAACACGTGCTTGACCACTCCTGCCTATCTCACCCTTAGCGCCCTTCTCCCCTATGAAACAGCATGTCCACCAGTGAAGGAGGGCCATTTTCAGTTCCCACATGACAAGATCAGTGAAGAACAACCCAGCAAACAGTCTCAGACCACCACTTGAACAATAACCCTTACAAATATATTTTTCCACTGTGGAAGAGAATTTCACTTTGGGATCATTCTATAAATTTGGAATTTTTGAAAATTAGGAACATACAAAATCTTTTCAGACTACTTAACACAAATGAAAATTTTACTACTCCTTTGTCAGAGATGAGAAACTTGTACTTCAGTAAAACAAATTTATTTCTACTTTATCAGCATTTAGTAAAAATTCATAAAAATCACAACTCAGAAAAATGTACATATATTCTAAAATTTCTGTGAGTTTGTACAGAATCCTGTTCTAGCTTTGATCCTCTCTCCCCTCCCTCGGCCACTCCAGTGTTCGTTTTGAGGACTGCCTGGTGCTCAGTCCCTTTGAGGCAGGGCTCTGTGCTAATCGTTCCTTGCCTCACTCATGATGCCTGGTTTGTGGCAGATGCTCAACACATATTTTCAGAGTAAAATCTGACAGTAGCGCTGTTGCTGACCACCACCAACAACCATCCTGAATGTGCTAATGAGAGGTCACCAGCACGGAAGAGCCACCTACAGGCATTTCCAGGCGGACAGTGTGGTCCTGGGTCAGGGAGTAGCAGAGTTGCAGGGAGAAGCTTTCTAGGGCTGGCAGGAAGCACCATCTCTGGCTGTGCCTCCCTGTTTCTAAATACACCTATATGGTTTTCAGAATATAAATAGTATGGGCTGCTTTCCCATTTTGAAACCATTCCATAAATATGGGACCGTTAACTATCATTACGCAACACAGTGTAAAGTTATCCACCTTGACCAGAACCACACAGAACGTGCATTTTTGCAAGTTCTAAAATAATAGCATATTGTCAACACCAAGTGCTTCAAGCTGATCACAGAAAGGGAAGGCGCCTTGGACGCAGGTGGGAAAGCAGAGCCGGATAGCAGGGCAAGAGAGGGCGGGAGAAATGACGGCCGCATTTTATAAAACAGGGCAACAGGAAGCATCATCTCTGGTTGGTAAAACGAGGTTAAGAGTTTTTTACTTTGTTTTATCTTGTATTAGTGAATTATATATAACTGTGGGTTCATTCTCACAAAGTTATGCATGCACGGAACATGATCAACTCCGTTTCAGTCCCAGTAGCCCCTTTCCTCCCCTCCTCCCTCTTCGTATCGTATCTCTCCTTCCTCTACTGACCTTCCTCTCACCCCACGGTCTGCTTATTTCTCACTGGTGTTCTACATACACATCGGGTGGACGCACCGCGGTGTGCTCAGATCAGCACGCAGCATGACTTTGTGAAACCCGCTCTGCATTTCCCCCCTTTCCCGGCCCTCCTCACTCTCTCCCCTTCTTCTTCTCCACTGAGCTGCCCTGATCTTCATGATATCCCATCCCCCCTCCCCTTATTTTGCTCAAACTTCCACAAATGAGAGGAAGCATCCTACCCTTGATTTTCCCTTCTCTCTCACCCTGCACAAATGTCAAACCAAAGTGAATCAAAGACTTTGAATTTAGACCATGAATATTGCAACAGAGGGTCAGCTCTTGTTCGTATTGGTGCAGGCCCCAACTTCCTTAACAAGACCCTAAATTCAAGAAATAATACCAAGAAACAACAAGTGGGATGCCATTAAATTAAAAAGCTTTGGCACAGCAAAGGAGTAATTTATACTGTGAAGAGAGAGCCTGCAGAATGGGAGAAGATCTTTGCCAGCTACTCTTCTGACAAGGGATTAATATCCAGAATATATAAAGAACTAAAAAAACACAATGCTAAAAAATGTCAATAAATGGGAAAAGAACTAAACAGACATTTCTCAAAAAGAAGAAACACAAATGGCCAATAAATATATGAAAAATGTATAGCATCTCTAGCAATTAGGGAAATATTTGCAAATCAAAACTACACTAAGATGTTATCTCACTCCACTCAGAATGGCAGTTATCAACAACACGAATAATAAAAGCTGGCAAGGATGTGGGGGGAAAGGCACACTAATACATTGTTAGTGGGACTGTAAATGAATATAACCACTGTGAAAATCAGAATGGAGATTCCTAAAAAATAAAATACAGACATATGACCCAGCTAACCCACTCCTCGGTATATATCCCAAAGAACCAAAGTCAGCATACTGTAGTGACCCAGGCGTATGAACGATGACAGCAGTGTAATTCACAACAGATTATGGAATCAACCCTGATGCCCATCAACAGATGAATGGATGAAGAAGATGGGTATATATACACAAGGCATTTTACTCAGCAATACAGAAGAATGGAATGATGGCATTTGCTGGTAAGTGGGTGGATGGAACTGAAGAACATCATGCTAAGTGAAATAAGTATCTGTTTTTGAAGTTCCAAAGGCAACAGGAAGGAGAAAAAGTAAAAGTCATATGTATACTCCACAGAGGGGTGACGGAGATGGGGAGGAGCCTCAGTGGAGAAGCAGGAGGAGCTGTCCCTGGGGATAGGGTTTTAGCCCTGGTCTTGAGAAAGTGATTATACACTATTTAGGGATTTGGAGGAAAATCCCCATTGAAGATCTGGACACAGAATATTTTAAATGTTTTGCCTCAGGTACAAATCTAGATGAGGACTTTCACGGGGCAAAGAGATTGTAGGTTTCCATTAGGAACGTCAGCATCCTTTAGTTTAGTTCAACTAGGTAGACCTATCACTTTGAAAGAAGCACATTTTTAAGTGAGTAACAAAAATGTCTAACTGATGAATTTGTTATAAGATGCAATGATCTGATGCATAAAAGAACTAACAGTCTGACTTACAGGAAGCATGCATAAATGGTGACTTTTTTTTTTTAAAGTCACCATCAAGGTTGAAAGACTTAGGCACTCTAGATACGATCCTACAAAGATTATATCATGTTTTGTGAAAATATGATATATGAAAAGACGTCATGTCTTGTGAGAAATTAGTGCAGATTTTCCATTGTGTTATGTACACTATTCTTTTTTTTGTTCTTGTTTTGTAAAAATCGTTATTTTCTACTATGAGCTTCAATCTTGGATCACACATAAGAACTTGTCTAAGCATTTATAACTGAGAAAGTCACCTTCTTTATTTGTCTTTCACAACTTTACCATTATTTACTCTTCATGAAAGAGTTCCAGAATTTGGAATTTTCTCATTTTGTTTTAATTTTTGCTTTAATTATATCTAAAAATTTGGGGGAGACGGGACCGGGATTGAACTCAGGGGCCCTCTACCACTGAGCCTATCCCCATCCCTATTTTCCATTTTAATTAGAAACAGGGTCTCACTGAGTTGCTCAGTGCCTTGCCATTGCTGAGGCTGGCTTTAAACTCCTGATCCTCCTGCCTCAGCCTGCTGAGCTGCTGGGATTACAGGTGTGCACCATCATGCCTGGCTAGATCTAAAATTTTAAATCAAATGATTGCATTAGGCTGAACCAAGTCTATAGGAAAGCAAAACAAACAAATAAAACAGCAACAAAGAAAAACATTCCATACTGAAATAGACACACGCTGAAGTTGAAGTAAGGGGATTAAAATTCACTTGCAGAATACGCAGGGTTAATTCGGCACAGGTTTCTCCTGCTGTCCTAGGAGGAAGCCTGGGCTGGTGCTGACCCACTTACCACAATGTGGGCCAGAGGCCCCACCGGGAGGGAGGTAGAAGCTTGGGAGTCTCTGCTGTCCCTGGGGCCCCTGCAGGCAGATCTGCCCATGCCAGCCACCCCTCCCCACACCCAGGCCCTTCCTGTAAGTCAGAGTCTGACTTTAAAGCCCAGAAGCTCAGGTCGCTGAAAGGCAGCCCTGCAGCGGTTGCCACTGATCTTCTGTGACTGTAGAGCAGCTCTTTAATTAACAGGAGACTCCTCCGTCAGCTCAAGGTAGAAACAAAAGCTTGGATTTGTACAGCACTGACTCGGGCACCTCTTCCAAGTGAGAAACACCAGAAGAAGCCAGTGTGAGGAACTTCAAAATCACTGCTCTAAATACCGTTGAAGGTTCACGGTAAGAGGACGTCACAGGGCACAGGATGAATGGGGGAGGAGCAGGCAGAGGCAGGGGAGCCTGCCAAGTACCAGCTTTGTGTAGCAGAAGGACCAAGTCCTGGGTGTGGGTCAAGCCCTCCTGGCAGGTGCAGGGGCTGGAGGGCACAGCGGCTAGACAGCCAGGAGGCAGGGGCAGCCCGGTAGTCACCAGTGCTGCGTCAGCTGACTTAGCCAGCTAGGAATGTGACCTTCTAATATCAAACTGTCTGGGAGGCAAGCTCAAGGGCAAGCTCTGAGTTGGACTCCTCCTAAGACCCATCCGTCCAGTGTTCCCCTAGTCACATGGGGGGAGGATTTCAACTGATTCCATTAATTCATTCAACTCTGTGGAATAAATTAAATAAGCCTAATACTCCTATGAAAACTGGAGCAAAACTCATAAAGCCAATGTGGTTCCTGAACTTGCAACCTGGACATTCCATGCTCTGTTACTGGTCAATGAAACAAAAAAATCTACCTGTGAAACAATCAAAGCTGGTTTAAAATTAGGAGAGAAGGAGTACAGAAAGAACAAATTCTCAGCAGAAGTCAGAATTTTGACATTTTTATTTCTGAAGAACCCTGCCAGCCAAAATCCCCATGAATTATACAGGCTGAATATATTTAAGGAAGTTCAAAGACAGGAGAGGAATCAGTTAAATTTTTTAGATGTACAATCCAGAATTCACCGTGACCTACCTTTCAGCAGAAGCAATTCATGACTGATCATAAAGTAGCAAGAAAATTTCCCTCTCCCTCCACTTGGAACGTGCCCCAGCTCATACACCCTCAAGATCTCTATTGAGAAGAGCACTCCCTAGTGCTTCCCCTGCAGGCGCACGGGCTCCTGCTCAAAACCCACCAGGATGCTCCTGGGGCTCACCACCATCCTGGATCAGGAGGGCTACGGCACAAGACCTGTCACTTGCTCAGCAGCACTGGCAGGAAGGGCTGAGAGAACTGATCCCACTCCAGGGACTACAACAAAGGATGCATTGAAGTGCCCATGGGTAGAGTTCTAGGGTTTTCTGAAAGTCCAGAGCCAAAGTGACTCTTCAGGGGAACAGGAGCTTGGGGAATTCCAGGGTCAGCAAACTGGAGCCAATGCACCCACACAGCCTCCGAAATATTTGTTAGAAGATGGCAGTGAGCAAATCTGCTGGCCAGTGAGGAGACCAGCTGCACAGCTGGGACACCAGCAGGGCTCAGGATGAGGTCTGCTGGGGAGGGAGGGAGTCTCACCGGGGCAGGAAAGAACGTCCACGTGTTGGCCAAGGCCCCAGACACCTGAGGCAGAGCCCGTGTGTGGTCACAGGGTGAGAGGATGCTCTCCCCAGGCCACGGTGGGGCATTGCAGAATCGGTCCTGCAGGGCTTGGGCTTGTGTGAAGTAATTCGGGAGTGGGTTTGAGGAAGCAGGGATTTCTGAAGACTGAATGCTGTCAGGACATTGGATTAACTCTCTGGGTGTTTTAAGGAGGATTATGTCTAAAGCAGGTAGACAAGAGCTGCTAAGGCTGTATTTCTCCCTTTAAAACCTATAGGAAGTGGGCGCGGTGGTACATGCCTGTGATCCCAGCAGCTTCAGAGGCTGAGACAGGAGGATGGCGAGTTCAAAGCCAGCCTCAGCAAAAGTGAGGCACTCAGCAATTCAGTCTCTAAATAAAATACACAATGTGGCTGGGGATGTTGCTGAGTGGTCGAGGGACCCTGAGTTCAATCCCTGGAACCCCCCATCACTAAAAAAAAAATTTAAAAATTAAATAAAATATACAGGAAAATGATTTATCTATAGAGCTCCAGAGTGTGAAGAATAGATTGAACACTTTGCCATGAATGGAGTCTCAAGTATATCCAGGGCAAGGAGGCTGGAGCCTCTGCAGGTCGCAGGTCCAGGCCTGCATCTCCCGGGGCACTCACTCCCAGGGCCCATGACTCTGTATGTCAGCTCTGCCAGCCCAGCCTGCCCCCTGCGACTTTATGCAGATGAAATTACACTAGCAGGGAAACGCACGTTTGGATCTTTACCTGCTCTAGAACAGGCTCTTGTACGTTTTAGTTCAGTGTGTTACGTTACACTGCGTAACTCAGGATGAGTGCTCCTGTGACAACTGCCAGCCCCTTTCCGAAGACTCGGAGTCTCCCCTCCTTAGCGACTCTCCCCGTGTTCACTGGGCAGCAAGACAGACAACCCTGGGTCACAGGGACACTGAACCACTGGCGCCTTTGTGGTGTTCACAGGATCAGCCGCAGAGGGTGCATCAGATAGGGCCGCTAAGCACCCGAGGTGGGGGCAGAGGGCCTTTGATCTTTAAGGAATGTTGTAATTTTCCATGGGAAAGAGTACAATGACCTGTGGATTCTAAGAATAAGTACATAAGCATTTCCACTTCAAGAGCAGCAAGCTGGCTTTGCTATTTATTAGAAAGTAGCTCTGCCATCAAGTCCTATTGAGAAGGACCCCACGCTGCCACCAAAGCATCCAAGGCCAGAGGAGTCCCAGGGACCGGCTGCACACACCCACACATGCACACCAGTGCTCACGCACGCACAAGCGTACCTGCACACACGTTGTGGGCTCCCTGAAAAATGGGCAAGCGTCCTTTCTTTGTTTTCATTCTCCAGTCAAATGCTCTATTCATAGAGTGCAGATACTGGCCGCTAGCTGCTCCCCTCGGACTGGAAAAGCTCACCCGAGTGAACCAGCAGAGAGAGGCGCGCAGGGCAAGCTCTTTCTTTTCTTCCCTTCTCTCAGCCATGTTACACTCAAAGTCAGGACCTTTTCCAAATTTGCTAGAAAAAGACAGAATCAAGAGCCAAATAAAAGCCTATTTAACTTCTTTTTATTTGAAACTTCAAAGTAGGTCATTTACACAGTGAAAAGGACAAGGAAGAAAAAAGAGAAAACAGTAGAAAAAAATAAAAACCAAGGCTCAACAACCACAAAGCCTAAATCCAACGCTTTTTTCCCTAAAGCCCATTGTCCAGTATTGTCACAAGAAAGTAAGTCATGAAATTGGTTTTTGTTGTGTTTCCTTCCAATCATTATGAAAGGCCTCTGACTGTAAAGAAAAATGGGAAGGTTTTTTTAAAAAATAGCCTAGCGCTCAAGAGGCAAGCTTGGAGACATTAACCATTCACAAGCCTGAAAACGAAATCTTTCCTTTAAAAAACTAATGAATCAGTATTTTCTGTTGAAATCATTTTTTTTTATTACATTTTCAAAGGCATCTGGATGTTCTTTTACATGCAGGAAAAGGTTGTGTGTGTTTTTACCAACTAACTCCATTTACTGGAAGACTGAATTTTCTTTTCAGCTTAAACATGGTTTTCTTGGCTGCTGAAAAGGAAGCCCACACTTCAGGGCATGTCTCTGTCCTCTCTGGGCAGGGCTTCTCACACTGCAGGGTGCACACATTACCCCAGGGACCTTGGTGGCTGCAGAGCGGGATCCAGTGGGAACCTGAGACGCTTCCTTCCGAGCCATGCCAGCAAGGCCCACCCAGGAACTGCAGGGGCCTAGAAGGCCCCTGGGCAGCCTGGAGACCAGTTAGGCACATGTGATGGACCCTGAACTTCTTTATTGTAGGTAAATTCAAGAAATGATCACCATGCTCTGTCTTTGTTTTCCAGGACACCATAACTAAGTACCACAATCTGCGGGTGGACGTCAGAAATCTGTGCTCTCCTGGGCTGGAGGTGTTGTCTCTGGAATCAAAGGATCAAGGTGATGCTCCCTTCCAAGCCTCTGGGGAGGACTCCTTCCCTGCCTCCCTCTCCTGGTTTCTGGGTGCACAGCAATCCCTGGGGTGCCTTGGCGGGCAGGTGCATGGCTCTGAGCTGTCTGTGGCAACATGGCCCCTCCCTTCTGCATCTCTTCTTGGCTTCATATGGTGTCCAAATCTACCTGTCCTTATAAGAACACCGGTCATTGTATCAGGGCCCACCCAACTCCACTGTGGCCTCTGTTTTACTTGATAAGATCTGCTGGGACCCTATTTCCAAATATGGCCATATCCACAGGTACCACAGGTTCAACATGTTTTTGGGAGGGACACAATTCACCCCAAATGTGCACACCAAAGTTGGAGATCCTCTAAGGCTACCGTCACCACAATGCCTGCTTGTTAGCATCACCAGGGGAATTTACAAAATCGCATCCCTGCAGCCAGTCAAACCCAACTCCCTGGGGATGACACCAGGTGCTGCTCTTCTCTACATTTCCAAATCACCCCAGTACATAGAAACTTTTAGGGCCCCCTGAATTAGACTCAAGTTTTAGAGATGTCTATGAAAATAAGCAATGGTTTAGTGAAATGTTTTTTGTTAGTATGCATTGGAAAAAAATTGCCAGAGATTTATGCTGAAAATATATTGTTTAGGAAACAGAGGGTTTTGATATGGCCTGGAAGAACCTACAAGTTTCTCTTTGCTATGAGAGTAAATATGAGATCATTTTAATGAGTATAATATGAATGATAGAATGTTTAGCTCTGTATATAATCATTGCAGACATTTAGAAATACAGGTAAAAGAATAAGGAAGAAGCACATATTGAAGGAACTGGTGCTAGGGAAGCTAATCTGAATAAATTTATGATATCATAACACCTTTTCAAGACTTTCCCATGGTGATAGATTTTTAATTTTGCTCCAAAGTGACTAGAATATTGAACTGTCTTTGAATAATTCTCTCCAGATTAACCCTAATTTTCCAGAGTCATGATTCCAGAAAACTCTTGGTAATGGTTTCTAAATGTCTCCAATAGATAAATGTAATTACTTGGCAGAAAGAGAGAGAGAGAGAGTTAGGACGAGTTTAATATACACAGCCAGGCCTGGAGCCCTAGAAAATGCTTTGAAAAGGGGTCAATAAGTAACATTGGTGTCATTTTCTTTTTTTGGATTGAAGATAATTCTTTTGGTATTTGCCTGGTGATTGTCACAGTGATTACTGCTAAACAGTAATTTCATGAAATAGTGAGTCTCCCTGTGTTCTTACCAGACGATATAAAGTAAGGAGCTAAAGAAAGAGCAGCAGAGTGTGATTCAGAGGAAAGTGAAGAGTGTGTTCAGGAGAACCTCAAGCAGCAGTAAGCAGAAGCACCCGGGATCCAACACGAATGTGGAATTAGACTGAACACACTCTCCAGGGTGACAGTGCAAGCCGTCACCGAGCTGCCCAGGAGGAACAGGGAAGGATAAAGCAGCCAACGCGTGCTTTCTGCAGAACCAGGACATAGTCCATCACCCAAATCAGAACACTGAGGAGGAAGATGCTATTATGCCAGGACACTGGCTACCGGAGGACTGTCCTCCAAACCTGGAATGGCTCCTGAGGGTCACTCCACACCCCTGCTGGTGGCTCAAAGCTAGCCATTGAGATGATATGATTATGTTAAGATTTGCATTCATATGGATATTGGACTCCTGCTGTTCACCTAGGCCGGCTCCTGGAGAGTTCCCATTGGTTGGGGAAGTACAGTAGGAGGGAGTTCCGGGGGAGGAGCGCGCTCTGCGGGGCGGGAGGAGGCCTCGTGTGGGTGGATCGAAGAATCTTCCCAGGCGCGTACCGGACATTGGCGGGAGTTTCAAAAAATAAAGTTTGTTCCTGCTTGAGTGGCTCGTGATTTTGTGCCCAGCTAGACTGCGGCAGTAGCACGCTCGCCTGGCATACGTGAGGCACTGGGTTCAATCCTCAGCACCACATAAAAATAAAATAAAGATATTGTGTCTACCTAAAGCTAAAAAATAAATACTAAAAAAAATAAAAACTAAAAATAAAACTTTAAACATATTATATCTAGTTACAAACTATAGCAATAATTATTGTTACACTATTTTGTCCCAAATTTCTCAAGAGATAGGCATGAACTTGATCTTAAACAATATTTGATCAGAAACCATAGACAATGGAAATAATTTTATCTAATTATAGATACTGAAATTTTAATGGAAACAAATCTCAAAGTTTCACTCTTTGCTCTGTACCCTTCCTTCTTAATCCTTTGTGGGTATCTTCTCAAAAGAGTTTTAAATATCTTTAAATTAAAATCAAATAGCAAAGTATGCAAGCAAACGAGTTACTAAATAGTGTGGTTCTGTCTTTACATAAAATCATGCACATGTAATATTCACATATACTTCTATACACAACACCTACATGGACAGGCATGAGAAGGTTAGTAGTTTTTGTTTCCTGACTAGCGATAGTGATGGTGGATTTATTCCTCCATTTTTCTTTTGTTTGTTTTACATTGTAACAGAATCAGCTTTGCAGTTTAGAAAAATTACAGAGGAGTACAAAATCCCAAAATGAGTAAATTATTGCCATTCATCATTCTAGCACTTTGTCAGTAGGTCCATTTGAAATTCATTAAATCCTCCTCCACATTTACTAATATGAATGTAATAATGCATGCCATGATTTTATTTTAAGTAATTCTAAAACTATTCTCTGTTAAAAAAAAATATAAGCCCTTCCAAATTATTGGAAAATAATAGGTGAATGGATTTTAATATTCCAAATCCACTATGTATATTGTGGTGGTCATACTTTATACTATTAGTATATACTTCATATACTATCCAGATATGAAATTTCAATCTGCAATGTACTAAAATGTTCAATTTTAGCAGCTGATAAGATATTAGAATCATGAGCCACAGAAGCTTTCTGAATCAGTGTCTTCTAGAACCTTGGCATCTGCACGCAAGAATTCTGAGTGAACAATGCCGTCAATCCTGTCAGCTTGATGCATGAGACATTTCCCATGCCCAGGATGATTGACAAATGGTCCTGGACAGCAGTTCTTATATTACATCCTGAGCTCCTTCTTGGATCAAAACATGTAAAGAAAATAAACATGTACATATTACATGCACTTTTAAAAGCAGAAATGAAAGTCACTATTGTTCCTACTTTTTATGCAAACTGTAACTGTCAAAAGGCACGTGCAGTTTTATAAGAGTTTAAATATTATTTCTCTTTGATAGATTGTATTCTTTAATATTCCAATATTTACTCATAAGCTTGATCTATAGAATTTGATGAGTGTTAAAGTCAAGTAATACTATTGCAATTTGATGTTTTTCAGTGGATTTTCCAGACATGACTCCATTTGAGTAGATGACCACATAACCCTAGGACATCATCAAAGCAGAGGACAAGTGCATGATTCGGCACCTTCCAGAACCATTCATAAACTAGGCAACAGCACTGCTGGCTCAAGACCCTGTCTCCCCGTGTGAGAAGCCCTCCCCCTCACCCCAACCCACCTGTCTCTGGGGCGCTCACATTCTTCATCTGCCCTGTCCTGCTCATCACCCCTGAGCGTCTCCTCAGTCTTCCCGGAGACACGGACTCCATCCCCAGAGGGAGCACAGGGGCTCCCGTGAGCACCCTGCTGTCTGCCCCCACAGCACTGCCTCCTAGTGTCCCCCCAGGAGACAGTCACATGAATGCCTCTGGTTCCCCGGCCATCTGGCATGCTGGGTGCTGAGCTGGGTGTGCTGCCCGCCGCCTTGGGTGGGAATAATCCTACTTCTTTTGAAGAGCCTCCCATCTGGGAGGCTGTGCTCTCGAGAAGGCCTCATGAGGGTGGGTGCAGCGGGTAAACGTGGGCTGGCAGAAATGACCAAACTGGTGCAACGACAAAAGAGAAACAAATGCCTCCGTGGTGTGAGTTCAGCACACTCGGACCACTTTCCATTTTTCCTGGGTGTGAAACAGACTCAACCATCAACAGAAGATCCCAAAGATAGAGCAAGAGGAGGATCACTGGGGGAACAACCAATTTCCAGAAAAATATTTCAGATTAGGAAAAAATTCAGGTCTTCATATAACCCCCAAATGGGCTCAATGGTACCCAGAAATACATTATCCAATGTCCCTAAATAATCTACAGTATCTCCCCGGGAAACGATGAATATGCATGGTTGATAAACACATTGCAGTGCTGAAGGAGCCTCTCTTGTTTCTACCTGTGCTGACAAACTGCACCCCTTCCTAACACTGCCTAGGCCTGCCCCAGGAGAAAGGACACTAAACCCTCGTGGGAACACAAGGACAGGAGGTACAGGTACACACAGAGGCAAGGGGCACAGAGGCTACAGGAGAAAACACACTTCAAGTACTGGGGAACCCCCTTGAGTGAGAACTAGATGGTAACAACCTGAGTGCATGTTCAGTTTGGCTTGTGTATTATATGTGTATGATTCAGAATTCTGACAGCCGAAAGGAATTGCAACCTGGAATCTCTAAGGAGAGCCACATTATTAAGATGGGTTTCCATATTTACAAATTCTGCATTAGTTTCATCCTTTTTGCTTTATGACTTTAGTAAATCATAAATAATCTTAATTTCTTGTATCTCTTCACTTTTATAAAATAGGTACTCAAAATATGAACTCTGAACTATTTACACTCACTGTGTTACTCATTTGTATCTACATGGCATTAGTATTCATCCAATGTATCTTAAGGCTAATTGAATTAAAACACCATTCACATCTTCTGCCATGCAAAGCAAATTCTTTACATCTTATGTAAAACATGCTTGCTGAAGGCTTATAAATTCAGATACTTTATTTTCCGCAATATTCTCATACTCTCTCTAGAATCTAAATGTTAAATATGTGTAGATTCCTTTTCAAATTGTCAAGCTGTGCAAAACAAGTAGACATTTCCCTTCATTGGTGTCCTCCATTCCTTCTGCAAATTATCCTGCCCAGACACAAACTGCCACTGGGCTGGTTTCCGACCCCACCCGTGGAAATGGGAGTGTCCTAGGAGCACAGGCCCCTTGGTCCTCACAGGTTGCCCTTTCGAGGCTGCATGGTTTAACTACACAGATGAGTTGAGTGCTGGAAGAAGCTGTTACTATGGAACTGAACTTATCACTTTGTAAACACAGGGATGCGTAAGGGACTGGGCCAACTAGTTGGAAGATAAACGACTTTAGATATCTGAGGGGCGATTTTTAAAACTTACGCTTCGATTGGCATACACCTGTCTTTTGGTTTCAAGGTTCACTTGAAGGACTTAAAATGCAGAAGCCCCAGGTCTACTGCACAGGAGTGGGTTGGTGAATAAAGACACTAGACCTGCCACATGCCGCACCTGCTCAGGGAAGCCCTGGACCGCGGCCATCGTGTACACTGCACCTGAGTATTTTGGTATGTGCACGCCAGAACCTGGAGTAGAACTCGTTTGTCGAGTCCATTTTCCTGTTTTCTGATGGAGAGAATTGTTGCCACGGTAAAGAGGGCAGGCCAGACGGAGGGAATGACATGCACAGCTGCTGTGGTCAGGTGAGGCAGGATTAGCACGTGACCGGCAGTGATGTGGGTGCAGGGCGCAGGGCCAGTGGGGAGAGCAGGGAGTGAAGGAGAGAGGCGGTGCAGGTGGGGAGCACCCACACCTGGCTCTTCATCAAAGCCCTCCGGGTTCACCCAGAAATGTCCAACAGGCCAGTCTCTCAACAGGTGGCTTTCTGCTGAAATTCACACTGTGTTCCTTATTCTTTCTCAAAAGAGAGAGAAAATACCACTAACCATCTAGTGATTCCCACTTGTGCCTATCCTTAGGCATCTCATTTTAATAATTAGCTATATTTGTATGACACGTTTCCTAGAATGTCTTCCTAAGCCTTTCACATATCTGTTGCCTTCTCTTCAAGAGTATCCACCATCCCTCACAGCACCGGCTAAGACCGTTAGGAACGTACCCATGAAATCAATCTGAAATATTTGTTGCTTATCACTATTTATGTTTTATTTAGCTCTTAAGTTTTTGGTAATAAGTATTACAGGGATAATTCCCAACAGACTTGAAATTTTATGCAAATTTATTATGATTGCAAGCTCTTGGATAGAAAAGAATACTTCTTTGTGAATTATAAACATGTACATTCACCAGAAAAATACTTCTATGTCTTTTTCTTTTTCTTTCTTTCTATCTTTTTTTTTAATTTTTGCAACATTGTCTATCTTGTGAACGTGCTGTTAGGATGACTGACAACTGTGTATGGAACCAGAATCGAAAGAACTTAAGCGTAATGTTTGTTCTATTGGTCACTCTACCTCTCACCACGTGATGAAAACTGCTGTTTAAAGGACAAAAGTGTGTAAAGACAGATTCTTCTTCCTTTTTTCTTTTTTTTTTTTTTGCTTATGTTATTGGTACAGCACTACTATTACCATAATTCAGTAATGTTTTACTTCATGTATTTATGAGCTGACATCATGTAAAACCTCTATAGTTTCCATAGGCCAATACTTTTTTTGAGTTCACTTATTCAGCCCCAAAACATCAACAAGGAGCTGGAACGAGGCCTAGGGATCTAGAGTACAAATTATAGACCTCACCCCTCTGGAGACTGTAGTCTAGCACAGAAAGATGCAGTTGAGTGATAAGAAATTTCTGGATTCTGCCTTGAAAAACTATCTTGAGAATTCAAATAGCTGCAGGCACGAGCTATCAGACTTTATATCCTCTAGATGACCAAGAATCAAATGCTGACTTCTGGTGTTGCTATTATTACACAATTTTCCACTCCGAGAAAGAGTCTATATTAGTCAGTGTTTACAGATCCCTGGATCTACAAGTTATTATGGATCTGATCACACCTCTGATGGGAAACCACATAACTCCACATGGTTTCTTACGTAAGGATTATAGTCTCTGTAAATATTGGTTGGAAGTATTTGTCAGGAAATGACCATCTATAAGCATCAGTTAAGATGCCCAAAGAATAGGCATGACTCATAATTCCTCTATGGCATTCCTCTTTTTGATGTGCTCCACACTTGCCTTTGGCATTTACTCATACTAGAAGCATGACCCCTACAGATGAACTGCATCCAAACAGCCTCCAGCCTACCACTCTTTGGAATCATCCTCCTAATTGGTCATCCCTCAGTGTCTGCAGAGTTCCTCTCAGGATCCTCAGTGACACCCAACTCCATAGACGCTCAAGTTGCTAATGGGCAAGTTGTAGTATTTGCATTCAGTCTGTGCACATCTCCCCACTCTTTGATCATCTCCAGATCACTTACAAGTCATAACACAGTGTAGATGCTATGCAAATTGCTGTTATCATGCATAATTTAAAGAATAACAGCACGAAAAAAAATCCATGCATGTTCAGTATGAATGCAGAATTTTTCTGGATATTTTGATGTGCAGCTGCTTGAGTCTGCAGGTGCAGAATGTGCAGATATGGACAGGACAGCCCTTCCTTTCTAAAAGCTTCTAATTTTAGTCATTGAGGTTGTCCCAAGGGCAGTGTTCAATGATCGACTCTGAGAGACCCAGGCAAAAGATATAAGTTACCTGCACATTGAGATGGACACATAATCTGAACTGCAAATAAATAAGTGCGTGGGTTTGGGCCACAACTATGTCCAACCCCCCTCTAGAGGCCCACAGTCTTTCTCCCTTGATGGGCATAATGGGTGGTGTGACGGCCACTGCATTTTCCTCCACTGACCTCTGTATTCCTTGCTCTCCAAGTGCAAGCCCCAGGTTGGTACAGCATTAGCACCTCCTGAACTTTTCCTACCGCTTCAGGCCATGAAGCCTCCGTTCCCAGGTGGCGTGGCTATTGATGGTGGAAGCCAGGGCTTTGGGAAACATTCCAGAAATCAGCAGTAATTGACTCAGACTTTGTCTTGAGTGACGTTTGTGGCACAGGTCTCTTTACCCATGAGCACCTTTCCTCTGATACGATTCCACCGCTGACCTTCTGGGTCCACACAGCTCAGCCCCTGGTGAACGAGTCTGGCCTTTCTCCTCTGCCCCTAACCCCACAGACCACAAGAATGTAAGAGATGTCACTGGCAAATGCTCCTCTAAACCCCCGATGCCAACAGAGGGCACAGGCAAGAGTAGGTGGGCTGGTCGGTGTCTGCAGAAGACAGAGCCTCAGCAGTTACTGCACTGCACCAAGACAACGACATGCAGAGGTGGAGAGGCAAGGAGGGAACACAGGCTGGCAGTGAGCTGCGCAGGAGCCGCATCTGCAGGGGCGGGTGGCCTCTGGGGCAGGAGGAGCTAGGCAGGGTCAGGGCTGGAACCAAGGCTGGTGCGAGTCCTGCAGGGAACTTGATGAAGTTGGTTCTTCAGGTACAGAGAAACCCAAACCTGGAATATTCACTATTATATGTGACGACTGGCAGAACTGCCAAAGCCAAAGTTCTGTTTTAAAATCAACCACGCAATTTTCAAAAGAGAACGACCACGTGCACTCTACAGCAGGCATCTACATGAAATTCTGCTGACCATCCCTACATCAAGTGTTTATCCCTTCATTTTGAATAGATCTTGCTAGTGTTATTTATAATATAAACAGAAGTATAGCAGAAATACACTTTCTTTGAGCCTTAGAGATATAAATTATATTGCAGTTGGCAAATGATTTAAATTGATGCATAACACATAGATAATTATCTTTAGAGTTTTTGATGGAATGCTTTTTCATGCCACACAGGGGGCTCTGATCATCTCCTTGCCCACAAAGTTCCACACATGAGTACAAGGGAATGTGTGTGCCTCTCCTTTCTGTTCTTTAACACAGGAAACCTGAATCATTAACCCCTTTTAAATTTTTCCTTAATTATAAATGGAAAGTCTTCATAAGATTTTAAAGATACGATTTTTCATTGATTATGTTTATAATTTTCGAATGTCACAATAACAAAATATATACCTGAGGGAGAAATGAATGCCAGGTAATTACTAGGACCCCCACACCATCCGTAATCACAGATATGCCACAATCCTGAGAGAAGAGCAAGGATCTTGGGGTGTGGAGATGTTGTGGTGCTCTTGGGGATGTCTACTTGGAGCTGAACCTGAGAAACCTGTGGTCTCGGGGTGCCTGAGGCCTTGGTCCCACGGTCATCCTGGTGGGGCAGATGCAGACTGATGGAAGCAATCAGCCTGGGAAGAACCTGGATGCATTCTTAAAAAGGAGGCACCCATAAATGCACGGGATCAACCAAGCAGAAAGACCTGGCATTGTGAGCTGGGGTCACGCTTAGCATGTGTCTTTCCTGAGGGCTCATTTCCAGTCAGAGTCTTCCAAGTCCTGGAAACTCCCTTGATAGTTTATTTGTATAATAATTCCTGTTTGATTTTAAAACGGGAACTGTGAAATGAATTGCAATTAGAAAATTTGTTATGTAAACATAGAAATAATTTTTTCATTATCTACTTTTCAAATGACAGGTGACATAACATTTTTAGTATTTTTATTATCGAATTAAATATGGGGAAGCTACATAGTTCCCACAACTATACTGTCATTTTAGGCAAACTCCAACAACTTATGTCACCTGTCTGAATGTCAAACACCAAGTCATATTTACCTCAAAACCAGAGTAGCATTGTCAAATCCTCCTTAATTTAAGGGGGATCACAGT